TGACGAATTAAGAGAGACAGATGAGTGAGGCATGAGCGGCAGAGTAATACTATAATGTTCTTTAGATATGAATATAAAATGACACAGCTGACAGGCCATACAAGGTTTTATTTCATTTCTCAGTGTACCAGGCCTCCCTACTTTGTCTTCTTTGTTCTCTTTTCATCAGACTACTTACATCTCATTTTGACAGCCGGGCAACATTTAGAGCACTTTCGTTTTAAAGCGCGAGTTAGCATACTTGATTTGTCATTAAAATGCAAAACGCCTGCCATCACCAACATAGCCTGGGTGAGCACATACCACCTCAGACACAGGCACACACGTACTTTACATGTACACATACTGTTCAACCACATGTACAGGTAGCTTAGGCTATCTGCAATGCAAAAGTGCAGCATGGACCCGCCTTTCTTAATGGGAGGCTGAATTTCAACTTAAAAGTCTAATGTCAGGAGTTCATCTGTACACCTTATTCTTCTAAGTATAAATTAATTAAATATCTATGTGGTCAGAAATTAAAGGCAGCTGCCTTCCTCTAATTTTGTATCAACCAAAACCTGACGGTGTTTAAAATAGTGGAATGTATTTAAATGCACTACTTGTGTGGCACTGGGCGAAAAAAAAAACAAAGCATGAGGATGGTACGCAAGCTAATTAAGGCATGCCATTAAAAGCATTATTCATGTTAACAACAAGATGTGTTAAATCTGTCCGGTCTGACAGTAGACAGAATACAGGTCAGCCGCTGCAGGAGAACGCTACCAATGATGGAGGAGAGAGTCAAGTACCAGTGTTACGGGTTAAGTGGTTTCCCTGTTAACTGGTGACTTTCCTCTCAATGCATCAGTGGTTGCAATACAATTTCAGAGCATACTTATCTACTTTGTTTTGGAGTCTTAACCTTTAGTGAAACTGTGATACCGTTAAGGATTATTCAATCACATACAGGACTTGACACTATTGTACAAAAATGATTTCTGATCAAATAACAATTCCAGTTTACCAAACTCCGGCTCGTTTCAGGTGTGCACACAAGTATTTCTCCAATATTTTACACATTAAACAGAAGATTAGAAATGCCTTTGACATAGCGTAGTTCAATACAACACTAACAAAACCTACAGCCACCAAAATGATCAGAGAGTTGAATCCTACAAAGGGCATTATTGCAAGACTGTTATATTTTAATAGTGTGTACATTTTAAGCACTACGCTTTGATAAAGTTCTGCTGTTGATAGCATTTGTTTAACAGATGAGATCAACTGGAATTACTACAATTACAATCAACCGTAGCAAATATTTGACAGTTGTTTCAAACATTTTGCATGCAATTTAACATTACATGTGCAGTAATCGGGTATCACATGTGTTGAGAGAACCAGTGATAGGCAGATCTAACTAGCTAAAACAGATCTCAGTAAAATAGAGCAGGCTTCACTTTCTAGTTCGGTTTAGGATTTCACAAAAGCTGCCATTGCACAAATGTGATTTGTTTATCAAGAGGGCCATGTCAGATCTGAGTAGACCAGTTGTCACTGTTCTAACAACATTAGGATTCATCCTGTGACTCACAGACATGTGTCCTCCTCAAACCTCATGGGTCCAGGGTTGTAACACTGCATGTAACAGATGCAGGCACCCAGAGTGCACCCCAGTCAGAGAGAAAGGAACCATGTCAAGACAGCACGTGCCCACTCAGTGCATTGTGTACACACCTGACCTGGAACAAAGTGGACGACACAATACTATCCAAGCCTGTCCTGAGACAGAAATCTCCCTGTGAGCCACACTTCTCAACACATTGATGAGACAGGCTGACACGGCAGCACACAGAGGGAGAGGTGTGGGTGTGACAGCCCGCTACCATAATTTCACCCTGCCATTACCTGCCCAGCCACTCACAGTTATGCTCACAGAGACAGATGCACAAACACTGCATGCGAGCAAACATGCACAAGCATGCACACAAACACAAACATATGTGCAACACACACACACACACACACACACACACACACACACACACACACACACTCACACAAAAACACGCAGGACTCAGTTAAAGGTGATGCCAGTACATTTCTTCTCATTGTGACGCATTGTCAGGTTGCTGGATGAGCGTTGTCAATTGAACTGACAGAAATAAGCATATTAGCTACAACAAACTCTGGCAATGTCTCTCTCTCGATTTGAGTCAAGCAGCATGGAGTGCACGATGCTGAAGGCAGTCCACAGAGTCTCAATAACACGCACATCTGTTTGCACCTGGTTTGCTTGAGCCGACACTGAAACGAGGTCATGGTGTCAATACACGAATGTCTCCACTATCTGACACGTAATGTCGAAGCTAGGAGGTGAATAACGATATAATATTGTGATGTATGGCTCACTATAATTTGTGATTCTCAACAATTTTATATTGCAATGAAGCTTAAATGTTTAGCTTAAATATAATGGGCTTTGATTTGGTCCTCACCACCAAACTAGGGCTGGACGATAATTCAATATGATAATTTATCATATCATATCGTGATGAAATCATATAACGAGATATCTCGACACATAATTACAACATCTAAATAGATAATAGCAAGTACATTCTCACTCATAAAATCGGATTACTTTGCACTGAAGTCTTTAATTAAATGAGAAAACACTCAGAACGTCTCATATGTCAAGTATTTACTTCAAGCAAGAGTATAAAAAAAGTATTTATTCACTGAATTACCAGAAAACATGCTATATCATGATATATGTCGGTATCAAGATATGAAATGAACTATATCCGGATAGAATTTTTTGGCCAAAGAGCTACATAAGCGCAGCGGCACAAAGGGTTCACGGGCTATTTTTTTCAGGAAAGGTTTTTCACCATTAAGCTGTGAGTCAGGGGCCTCGATCTAATAGGTGCATTCTTACAGGGATCAAAACTACTGAGGGGGTGGCTATGCCTTAGTTAGCATATAACTTCATCACATGTTGAGCTGCTTATTGAATTTCACAGCTCCACCCACCCGTGACCTCCCAATGGTGTCATGTGAGCACATACAGACACCAATAGCAGCAGAGAGCACATTTATTAAGAGAGAATACTGGATACATAAGTCTGTGATGCGAGTGTGTGTAAGGGTGGAAAGGTTTGCATAACCACCCTAACAGGTCAGTAATGTACACCGGTACTTTATAGCTATGGATAGAGATACAATGGGAGACTACGTTAGCTTGCAATATCGAAGTTTTCAATGTGAGCCACTTAAACACACTGTGTAGAGGAGAAAAAGATGAAGCACCATGTAACAGATCATTTTGCCCAATAGCAAAAAAAACAATCAATAGTCCATTGATATGAGCCCCAAAACGGTTCGTGCACCACTTCATTGCTTCTGCACCACTTCTCTGCCAATACCACCCTTTGAAGTTTAGTAATGATATCTGACATCTGAGATTAGCCAAACTGAAAATGAATAATGAATTAGTAATATCGGAGTCATAAATGTTTGATTCTTAACATCAAGTCCGTAATGTGACGGGTTCAAAGGCGAGGAACATAATGCCAGCCTTGATCTCCCTGGAAAAACACACACAAGGGCTGTTTCAGTCAGATTTCATAAAGCCGTTTGCAGCACGTAAAAACATCACTTCCTTTAAGGTAATGCCAAGACATCTATTACCTCACTATTGCTTTGAACCACACACATAGCAGCCATGATCTAACGGCAATCATTCTGTGTAAAGAGTAAAGATTACTCAAAGGTCTTCCAGTTAGTGCAAGTTAGAGTACAAGTACAAGTCCACTCACTAAATGTTTGTTTTCCCAATTGCAGAGCTTAAAGTGAAACATATTTCTGAACATCGGGGTTTGTGTCTGAAGACATACATCACTAATAGAAGTGAAAAATCATGCACACCACCTCTAGAATTCTATTATAACGCTGCCAGTCTCCACGGCTTTCATCCGGTATATGAACAAACAGCATCACAAAAGTTCCTCATAAACATAGACGCTCACCATTGACCACATGTTTGTGGTGCCACACACCTGACGAATGTAGTGCAGACCAAAACGTTGGAAATACAATAAATATACCACCACTAAGGGACACTTATACAGCTTGCTGTCTTGAGGACAATTTTCACCAGGAGGAATTAGATGAGTATTTCATTTATTAATTTAACCTCAACCTCAACAATCCTTGTCATCATTTACCTCACACAAGCAAAACTGTGTGGACACATGAACTAAATATTTGAATCAGTAGGTCTTGGGTCATATTTCTTCCTGGTACTGATATTAGGTTTTTTTCCAGCATCTGGTTCACAGTCACACAGCTGCACACATCCACCTTGCCTTGCTCAAAGACACTTTAACAGTGGGTTCATTCATTCATTCATTCATTGACCCCAAACAGATTTTTCCAGCTGGTCTGCACTGTGTGTAACTGAGGGATTTTGCAAAATGACACAATGTAAATCAGTTAACTATAGGACTCCACAGTTCCAGCACTGCCTCGAGACAAAAAAAATCCAAGAAAAAAAGTGCCTCTATTGAGATGCCTTCATGGCCTGACAGTCATGAAACAAAAGCACCTCATAACCATCATCTCCTTTCTTTGACTTGCCAGATCGACTGTGCTAGTCCTGCTGCTGAAATGGCAGCCCCCTCTGAAGCAGCTGCCAGGAGGTGCTCCTTCATGTCCTGACAGAGGGATCTTTTCTTCCATTTGCCCCCAAATTAGCATGTCACATTTATCGATCACGCCTTTTATCCTGTAACAGCGAGTCACCAGCCCAGCTCTAGCATTCATTCAGCTCTTTGATGTCATGATGACACTCTGACCACCTATAGAACAAGGGCACCCATTCAATTGCACCTCATGTAAAGATGCATGTCTCCCAGTAAAAGACTGAGTGTGTGTGAGAGAGAGAGAGAGAGAAAGAGAGAGAGACCATGTGCATCCAGGTGATTAGGTTTGTTGCCTTTGCATCTGTCATCTACCTGAGCAGATTGAAGCTGAGATCCAGCCTTCTTGCAAACTGGCCGTATGTGTCTCCAAGGAAGTCTGGGATGTCCGTGCAGTCATGTCCGATGTGGGAAATCTTTAAGAATAAAAAAATAAAACAGAGAGATACGTGTGAGATTAGCAATAATAATAGCACCCTTAACATGAGCCGAGCAAAATGATATAATGATATTAGATGCTATATCTTATATTTACATATAATGCTATGATGCAGCTCATCATTTTGCAAATATTTATTATTTGTCTATTTGCTTTCCAATGATCATTGCATAAATTGCATACAACTTCAACACTTTAAAACATACGACGATGCTTTAGGTATACTTTATGAAATGATATTGCTGCATATTGAGGACATTATTCTGCCCGCAGTGAAGTTGTGGGAGGAACTGCAAAACTGAAAGTCACGAGCGTAACGTTAGTTCCACTGTGTCACATGACATCGGTGATGTCGAGGAAGTAAACGAAACCCTTTCGGCATTTTTCACCGGCAAAACTCCACTTTTTTTTTTAACAGTCACTGATTAAATATAACTGGGGCAAAGCAGAGAGCTGTGCAAAGTCCGACACAAATACTTTTCAAAGTAAACTTACTTGAGTCCCATTCAAAGCGACCAGCGACTCGTTATGTGCCATAACTTTCTCCTGACGATGACAGGCTCTCGGTCGCCTCTGTGTCTTTCAGATACGCTATTTGAGTGGATCTCCAGAGTCCCGCTCACGTTAGAAACACGCTGTGATCAACAGTAAATAGTGGTGTTTGTGGACGTATAGCCCGGCTGCTTTGGAGATCTACTGGCGCTTTCCAAATGACTTTACAGTTTCCGCGTGCCGTTTTAATCAGCTGACCTGCTGCTGTGCGTAAGAACGCTAACACGAGTGTTTTTCCTGTCTCCTGATGAAAGAACAGTACATGATTTGCCCTGACACCATGCTCTTATATTACATCCATTCTTTACATGTATGAAAACCTAATGGGTTTAGTTAAAACAGCTTAATGTTTTACAGAAAGCAATTAATTAAACAGTGTTGCTATAACATGGTCACAGCTTACCTGTTGAAAAGCCTCAGTAGGCTTAATTCACCTGTTTATGAATTACCAAGTAGGCTACCAAGAAAAGTTAAAAATCTCTTGCATCTTGTCTCAACTAATAACGTATTTCAAGAGTCCATCCAACTGAATTCAATGCCTCAATTTCCCCAATGTTAGGTTAATAAGCTAACTAATTAAAAATCTTACTTCGTGGTGGCTAGCTAGCTGTTAAGATAGTTTTGGTCATATTTGCCCAGGTTTTGTATGGGAGGCCGATTAGGGTGAAACCACATTGCACAATCTGGAAATACCCATTGACATTTTGCAAACATGCACTGAAAATGAGCACATATGCATTGCCAATGTGCGCATATGCACTGAAATAGCAAATGTGCATTGACAATGTGCACACATGCACATACGCATTGAAAATGTGCACATGCACCGAAAACGAGCACATATGCATTGTCAATGTGCACACATGCTCTGAAATAATTTCAGTGCGCACAAGAGTTGTTGTGTAACAGGAAGGCAGTGAGAACTAGACCTTCCTGTTGCAATGAAATTACTTTTTTACACAATTTTTTTTATTAAGAACAATTATTACGATACAGTTTATCATAAAAAATATCACAGACGACCCAGATACAATTAACTGAATAAACAGCAGTGGACAATGTATTCAGATCTTCTACTTGAGTAAAAGTAGTTAAACATGTTAAATATAGATCATATTGGGTAAACTTCCCCTCTTCCAATATCGGGAGCAATGCAAAACTGCTTCCCTAAACTTTGCAACAGTTAGCATTCAGGACCAATTACCTTTCAGTGAATGAGCCAGTCTGAAATGAGGCTTCCATTGTCAAGTGTATAAAACTAAAATCAGTGAAATTATAATACTCCACTTCACAGTGACACTCAAACCTGACATAAACAGAAGCAGTTGCAGTCAGAGCAATTAGCATATAAGCAATAGTCCATTTAAGAGAGAGCAGAAAAAAGAGGAGAGAATGGTCACAATAAAATAATAATAATGTCTGTGATTGTTTTTGGCCTAGACCATGTCAGACCATAACATTACAACGTCTTAGTCAAAACAATATGGCTTCTGCAATGCAGTCAAAGGTGGACGCAGGATTAAAAACCCTTGTTGTACTCAGTGACTGATACAAACCTGTGGCCTGCCCAAGCATGCACAGTTTGGGAGTATAATATTCAAACTTGAATTGCCCTCAAGAGGTTATTTGAATAGAATGCAAAATGAAACGGCAGCATCTATGGATAGAAACACACATAGGGCCACAAACTGCCTCACATGGTGGAAGAAATTTGCTTGAGTGATATGGACCTCATTTGCTACTCCTCAGTACAATAATGATTGTTTCATGTCTCTAAAGTGTGTGGGCAACAGGTTTCAGTTATGGTGAATCTATCTGATGGATATTACTGCAGGTAAACTTTGTATATTGATAGTGACCTCTTGATAATAGTAATAATATTTGTATGTAACCCAGTCACACTTGTTTGTGGCATTGCTGGATGAAAAACTTGATGAAGTCAGATGGCCACTAGGTGATTATTGAATTGCTTATAGGTCTTAGAGCTGTGGCGAAGTTGCAACTGAAATATCATTACATCTGTTTGTTGCTCACTTTATCTTTCTGTTCATATTTTGACCCTGCTTCCACAGAATATCCGACACATCTTCTTATATCATGTCTATAGCTCAAAGAACAGGTGGCAGGAGGTGCTAGCAATATTGCTTTATTAAGCTTTTGAAATAAAATCCCATTTCATATCAGATACAATCTGACAGCTAAACTTACTTGCTTTGTGATACATTCAAATTAGAAAGATTTCCTTAAATGTTCATTTTATTAATACAAAAAAACATGTTTATTTTATAAGGAGTGTGAATGTAAACAAACCTTTACAGCTTGATATCAAGCATATGACTCATTTTTATGTCACGCTTTTATAGTTCAGAGTAGCTTTGCAGGTCAACAACACAATAAGATCAAAACAAGTTTTGTGTAAACTCTTACATGAGGTCTCAAGGTAAGTATGTTTTTTATGTGTTAGCCTACTTGATTCTTCATCAAGGTTAATACCTACACTTTGCCGACAAACTTAAATGTTGTTTATATTATTGGAAGATGTTGGATTAGGGATTACTGCCTACAATAAAGGATTATGTAATGTGGCAAACCAACTACTGCCTCGGTGTGATGAAGTGGACGAAAACTTTTATTATATTTTGAACAACTATGGTTCAGGCTTTAATCACCGAACTATATTTCATTCATTCCTTGTGCCACTTAGCACTGAGAGGATGTCTGAATGCAGCAGACATTGCAGCCAAACACTGACGCAGAGTTTACCTCACTGCTATGTTTATCCTTGGAGCTGCGCTAATGAGTGCTGTAGCGCTTTAATGAAGTGTGGAGGCAAACCTGCGTCTTTTTTTTGGGGGAGGGGGGGCAAGGTGGCACTTTGTTAAGAGAATCAGGAAGTTCGGGAACACCGTGTTGTTCCTGTACCTCGCTGCATGTTCGGTGACGTCACGCGGGACCTCCCATACGCGGAAAAAAAAAAAAAAGGCTCACTTTCCCCCCGCTGCCTGCCCGGGGAGAGAGAGCGAGAGTCCGCATGGCAGCAGTCTCCACTGTGCCCTTAGCGGTGCTGCTACACATTTTACAGAATGTAATGGCTGGTGTGTTTGTGTCATGCAAAAATAGTCTCGTTTAGACAAGAAGGACTACGTCTTAATGTTCTTACAGTGTTATTCTTTTTCATCCGTTTGCCTCTCTGACGCTTTACATCGGAGCTTAGTAGGAAATGATTCCAGGTAATGTCGTGTTACGGACTTTCCTGTAAAGCTGTCCTTCCTCCGTGGAGTTTTAGAAAAAGCTTTTCTACTTCATGCATGTTCTTTAGTTGGTTTTCTCCTGTACAGCGTGTATCACGTTTTATCTGTTACTGATATTTGGAGATTGTGCGTCTTTTTTTTTTTTTGTAAATGTTTTGTTTATAGCTGGAATATCGCCACAAAAATAATAGAATGAAAGCTCAGATAAAATAATAATAACTTTATGTTATGAGCTCCAACAGGCAAAGCCTATATGAAAAGTAGTCTGCTTTTTAAATGATAAATTTAGCCGAGATGATATGTGAAGGTGCACTTCGAAAAGTTGCTTAATTGTGTAATTTGTATTTCACGTGGCTGTACATTTATATAAATCAACCTTGCAATGTGTTCTTCCTCGCTTCACAGCCAGAAGTCGGCCCAGCATAGTTTACAGTAAATCTCCAAATCCAACACACTACTTCACGAGATGTAAATACTTGTATTTGCATGCGAAGAGTGATTCATAAGCATGTCAGTGTTGTGAAATATACGGGGATGTTAAAACTTTCTATTTAAATATCATGAATTATGGTCGCAAAAATGTGTTCCCATTTAAGGGGAATGCTGAGAATTTTGGTGTCTTGGTGCAGAAGCCCATTCGTCATACGGACAATAAAGAGGGTTTTCGCCTGACAGTGAAAATTTATGGCTGCCCTTCTTTGCCCTAATAACTCACGTATTGTGTCACGGACTGACAGCCCTTGCAGAAAACAGCAAGCCTGTTATCAATCACACATCTTTGCATATTGTGAACCGTGCCCCCCCCCCCCCCCTTTCTGTCAGACAAAAACACTGGAAACATTTGAGGGAATAGAGTTCAGCTCATTTACACTTTGTTCCCCCTTTTACAAACTCACAATAAAATGAAAAGAACTGATGGCCTATTTTGTCAACGCTGTTTATTTATGTGACACATGATCTCAAAATGTTGACTTATAGAGAAGACTTCATAGAGAAGACAATTATAGCTTGTTTTTATTTATTCCTACATAGTTTACCACGTTGTAGTCAGCCATGCAGACCAGTGTGGGCCTATAAGGTGAAGCCAACCTTAAAATGCTTTTTTTTCCCTCCTCTGCTGTAACAGTCAGTTTAATTTCTAAATTGTTGCAAAAGATTCTACTTTTTATCACCTGGAGGGAAAATGTTTTATATTATTTTATGCACTGCACCCTTCATTCGAAATTGTATTTGTGGCAGATCATGAACTCAAGTACATTGGGTGTTATAATATAATTTGCCCCTTGACTGTCCACTCCAGGTTTTCATGCTCTCCAAGTTGACCTGTCAAGCAGATTATCACAGAAGGAGATTAATGGCAAAGGCGGGTTGCAATAATAATCGTTTTGTTTGATGTGACAACTTTGATAGGCGTTGATTTACTTACAAACTGATAGGCTTTTAATTGAGCGCCTCCATCCCGATTGAGATGAAAGGAAAACCGCATTGAAAAGCTGCCCGATTGCCCCGGAGCCTCAATACTGATTAGCCATCTCAGCGGTGAATAGTTCAAGGCATTTTAAACTCCTTTTCTCAACGGTCTGACAGACCATTTCTCTTCTTTTCTTTCTCCCTGTCCGCTTCTCTACCTCTTAGAGAAAATAAATCATTTTCATTGTATGTAAATAAAATCGAGCTGACATCAATATAAAATGTCTGGATTTCTTTTTTGTTCCCGGTCTTTGTTATTCTTGTTGCAGGATGACAGTGTGCCCGAGGCAGATGACAGGTTTTAACAACACAATGGCAGATGCGTTTAGCCAAAATGGACAGGGTTCTGTTTTGAGAGACCGTGGTGTTTCACCGGCTTGTAACACATTATCATTTCTGAATAAATGTTTTATCTTGCAGATTGTTTGAGCTAACTTGTCTGGGAAGGATGGGCTACATTTAATGTAGTAGATATAATGGATATATACATTATTAATTCGTCAATTTGTAATTTTCTATTTTATTAATAATGTGATCTGTTATTTTTTTTGTATTATTTAATTTGTTACGGACGCCTTTCGTGGTGTCGGCCGATTATAGCAAAAGCACTTTAACACCTTAAAGCCCTGACAGCTATACATTGTTTGCAAGTTATTAAAATGTCATGTGTGCCACCTCCGAGGTGTTTAATGAAGTACTTCAAAAAGTTGTAGACTTTTTAGGAAAGGGCCAGAGCAGAATGGAAACACAGTTCAGGCATCGGCTTTTGCTTCTCTTTCCACACATTGTCTGGGCCGGGGAGGTCGGCGATTGGCGATGCGTCTAAAAAAATGAAATGTTAACTCGAGAATCGATTTATTTCCTGCGAAAACTTGGTGTCTCTTGCAGAATGTCTATCTCCCCGTTTGTTCTTTTTTTCCCTGCAGTCACACTGGCATGTAATCAGCCACAATAGCTGACATAAATCAAGCGGCGGATTGACAGCGTCTGACAAATAACTGATTGATTGCGGTGGAGCAGAATTGACACTTGACGGAGGGGTGGAGATAGAAATAGAAGGGCGGTGTATATTATACTGAAAACATGTGACATTCACATCCCTCCATCACTACATTGGTCTATTCCTGTCAACGCTTGTCTGTTTAGGGAATTCGAGCTGAAACGGTTGGTTTTATGTTTGCCAGTGGAGAAAAAGTCCCGGTTTGGCGGACGCAGTGGCGCAAACTGAACGCGTCTCTCGGGTTAAAGACTGTCAGAGAACAACAAATAAAATACTTGTTAACGAAAGGTTTATTTCACCTATAAGCCTAAACGTAACGAATTAGTATTACTTATTAATTGTAATGAAGCTGTAAAAAAGTAGGTAGCCTAAATTGTGCCATCATAATTTACAATTTAGTTCAATATTAGACTAAGATGAAAATGTATGTGTTGTTGGCGATGCAAGCACGACTTAACAGCAGCAACTAGCCTGAACAAACTGACTGCCGTTTGATGTAACATCCATACTGAAAAAGTCAATGACATATTTTATATTAGACGGAATGATAACCTAAAGTTAAAGTTAGTAAATTATGCATTCTAATTCTAAATGGTAGAGGTTGTTCATCTATTGTATTATTCACACACTATGCTTTATCCCGGTGAGCCCCTACATCTAAAATCCGTGTAAGCGTTCCCACGAACCAAACTCTGTGAGCCTATCTCCTCCCCCGAGCTGTCGAAATAGAGGCGCTTACAAAGAGGAGAACGTCACATCCCCTTGACCCTCCAATCACCTCAGGGTCCCATTTGATTGGAAGGCGGCAAAGGCTTTAATCTCGGACTAATTCAGCTGCTTTTGAAGTGAACATTTCTACCAGTTCGTACTTCAGGAGTACAGAGCGAGGACCTGCAGACAGACGCACTGAAGGCGCAGCGCTCATGGTGCAGGACACAGACACGGATCTGCGATAAACTCGCACGGTCTCTTGCCAGCTGCCGCGCCTCGCTTCTTTTACCCGGATTACTCGTTATTGAACCGTTTTTACGATTCTTTTTTTTTTTGCACCCGAGAGAGAGAGAGAGAGAAAGAAAGAAAGAGAGAGAGAGAGAGAGAGGGGCTCAGTGTTTTTTTTGATTTTCTTAATGAATCTGACGAAAGCATTGACGTTTCATTTCCTGACAATTGGGACATGATCACATCGCCCTCGGCATCCGTCTTGAAGAATAGTGGTATTTGTTTAGTCTGGGAAAGCAGCAGTTCTCGGAATAGCAGCTCAGCGAGCATCAACAAGCCTTTCCTCCACGCCGTACCCCCGTCTCATCCTCTACGGCAAGCGAACCGACTTCCCATCAAGATTTTGAAAATGCTTACCGCACGGTCGGGACACATTTTGCACCCGGAGTATCTGCAGCCTTTGCCTGCTAACCCGATCAGTCCTATAGAGGTAAGAGGGACATGTTGAGCGCTTAACGTCAGTATAATCACAGTGTTAGTTGGGCGAGTTCAGTCAGCGCTTCGCGTGACAATGTGTTGGAAGCCAATTGCAGTTCTCCCGTAATATCTGCTGGTCAAGTGTGGTTTCGGTGTTAAACAGTTGTGTGTAGTATGACGTTTGTTTTTAATAATCAACACGATTGTAGTTTTGTTCACGGAAGAGCCGTGCGTAATTGCATTATAGTTCCGTTTGGAAATGCGAATAGAAACATTATTTGTTTCTCTCTCAGGCTGTACATTTTGTTATTATAAAATCAATCATTTAATGTGCATTGTAATAGCATTGATCAACATCTATGTCGTCTTTTTTTGCAGCTAGATGCCAAGAAAAGTCCGTTGGCTCTTCTGGCGCAGACCTGCTCTCAGATTGGCAAACCAGACCCACCGCCTTCCTCCAAATTGTCCTCCGTGACAAATGGATCTAGTGAGAAGGAATCTAAATCTGGTCCCCTGAAAATGAGTGACATCGGTGTGGATGACAAATCTAGCTTCAAACCGTATTCTAAGCCTTCAGATAAGAAGGACTCGTCTTCGGGCGTCTCAAGCGGAGAGAAGTCTGGTTTCCGAGTGCCGAGCGCCACCTGCCAGCCGTTTACGCCGCGGACAGGCAGCCCCAACTCCAGCACTTCCGCGTCCCCGATGCCGTCCGATGGGAAGGAGAGGGATGAAAAGAAAGAGTCTGATTGTAATAAAAATGGCAATACGGACGGGTCCGGCACCACTAGCCACAACCGGATAAGTGTGAGTTGTGGCGGAATTAACGTGGAGGTCAACCAACACCAGGAGACGACGCCTGGCACTAAAACCTCCTCCTCCTCGGACTCACCATCTGTAACTTCTGTATCCTCCGCATCCGTTCTCGGGTCAGGACTTGTGGCACCGGTTTCTCCGTACAAACCGGGGCAGACAGTTTTCCCTTTGCCTCCAGCTGGTATGGCCTACCCAGGTAGCTTGGCTGGGGCCTACGCTGGTTACCCTCAGCACTTCCTGTCCCACGGAGGGGGCTTGGTGAACGCACAGCTGGCCAGTTCGATGGGCTGCAGTAAGGCTGGGTCCAGCCCTTTGGCTGGAGCCTCTCCACCGTCCATCATGTCAGCCAGCCTTTGCAGAGACCCTTACTGCCTCAGTTACCATTGTGCCAGCCACTTAGCGGGCGCAGCCAGTGCATGCTCGCACGAATCTGCAGCTGCAGCGGCCGCTAACGCCCTCAAATCCAGCTACCCACTAATGTACCCGACACACCACATTCACGGCGTGCATTCCTCGGCGCCATCATTTAGCGGACACCCCCTGTACCCATACGGGTTCATGCTCCCCAATGACCCTCTCCCCCATATTTGCAATTGGGTGTCGGCAAATGGACCATGCGACAAGCGTTTCTCCTCGTCAGAAGAGCTCCTGAATCACCTGAGGACTCACACGGCTTTTTCTGGGGCGGAGAAGTTGATATCTGGTTATCCCGGGTCTTCGTCTCTGGCCAACGCTGCAGCAGCGGCCATGGCCTGCCACATGCACATGCCACAGTCAGGTCCCCCCGGGAGCCCCGGAACTTTGGCTCTGAGGAGCCCGCATCACGCGTTAGGACTCAGCAGCCGCTACCACCCGTACTCCAAAAGTCCCCTGCCAACCGGTGGCCCGGTTCCCGTCCCCGCTGCCACCGGCCCTTACTACTCCCCATATGCACTGTATGGCCAGAGACTCACCACAGCATCAGTGCTTGGATACCAGTGAGGAACAAAATGACTTTGAAGAGTTTATAGTACTAAGAATGCAAATATAAAGACTTTTATATTAACAGCGCTAAACGTATGGGCGGGATCCGTGGACTTCAACTGTATTTATTTATATGTCGGCTTAAAAGCAGGCGACAATAGCTGCAAATGGAAAATATTTGAGCAACTCAAAAAGTGCATTATGTTGAAACTGAACTCTATAGGTAAAATGAAAACACACATGTTAGAGTACTAATTAAAGTAGGGGTCTTCATTTTGATGTTAATTTGAAATTGCTATGATTGTATTTGTTCTTATTTAATGTCTCATTGAGAAGAAAATAATTTACATGCATGTTTGTTTCTTAAATTTCAGAAATTGTCCACATTTCAAATTGCCGTTATTTTTCAGGTGAACACCTTGGAAAGAGAATTGGTATTTTTTTGTATGTATTCTGGAAAAAAAATAAGAAACAATTCTGTTCCATATCTCCGTGTGCCTCATTTTCTGACGTATTATTCAGTGTTAAATAATAGTTGAATTTATATTCCACTTTCAGTTTTTAAAATTTGGTTTGTTAAATTAATGGGTTCAAGAAAACGTCATTGATAATTTCCGCAACGTGATATATACATATGTTCCTGTCATACTTTTAAAAACAATGAATTGCTATCTCATCAAAAGTCATCTTGACGACTTGCTGATATAGTTTGCATCTTTCTTTCCATTATATTAGTTTTTATGCTAAATAATTGAAAAGCTTTAAACGTTTACTTTTATCAGAGCACGTGTTAAAAACCTAAATTAAATGCAACTTCAATGAGTGAAAATTGGTTGTGCGTGTGTGAGAGACAGTGTGTGATGTATGTGTGTGTGTGTGTGTGTGTGTGTGTGTACACAGAGTTAACCGGGCTTTTGTATGAGATCATTTAGTTTACTGGTGGGTAATGTTTGTCAATACGTTTTATTTGACAGGTGTTGTAGCTTGCTTGCTACTTTACCTGCATATAAATTAACATCTGTGAAATACGCCAGAAAAAAAAAATGTTGGACCAGGACAGATTTTTCTGTCATTTTTACGCACAGCATGCGTTTTAAAATTGCTCAGATTAAAATATATTAAAAAACCTTTTACAATCTTAAGAGAAAGAAGGACGTTGGCTTGAATCATTTGCTGGCTTTCTGGTTTAATGCAATAGAAATTCTACAAGCGTTTTCGCACTGCGTGTCTTTTCATTTCTGCTAAAGCTGTGGGCTGAGAGCGAGCCTCTGATGCTCCACCAAGGTGATTCTTCGACTTGGAGGCCATTAACTGTTTGGTTTTTTTTACTATATTAAACTGGTTATTTTCCATCATTATCAGGATGTTATCACTTAATTTGCATTTGATAATCTCATCCACCTGTAAATCTTAATGTACTCAGCACTACATTGTTATTAAAAAAAAATCTTGTGCAAAGTTGTGGGATTTTCATGAAGGAACAAACACTCACGAATCTTGGTTTGAATTTGCAAAAAAACAGGCACATATACATTTCTATTTTTTTAATTAGAAATAATATCCCACAAGAACCACAACTAAATTGTTTATATTATGTCGTTTTTTCTATTTTTCCTGCACAGCGGCAATAAACGTATTGTTACAGCTGATTTTGTTTGTGATATTCATAAGCAAAATCAGCTGCATATTTGAACACATTTATTGTCTCTGAATATATATATATATATATATATATATATATATATATATATATATATATAATCGGTGGATGAAAAGATAATTCTCAGTCATATTAATTATCCATAATGTATGACTTTGCATTACATTACGTAACATTGCGATACAAAAGGGCTTATTGTATTTCCTATGTGTAGCCTCCTTCCTATATCCTTGCTATGGTTGACTCTAAACAACATTCATTTAGTCTTTCAGTTCTTTTGGGCGCACTGTTGATCCAGCTGTGTTACAGTTATAAGTATTTATATAGAATACGTCGCTGTCCCTTGTCCATCGCACAACGGTTATTCAGACGAAACAAACTCCTCACATAGTGTGTATGAGGCCCACACGCGCCCTAAACTGATGTAATGACGGTGAAAGGAAGCAATTTCCATTTCTACCCACATCATGGTGGCTGTGCTCGGAGGGTCCCGGTGGAAGGCAATTTATCATGTGCCCCTCCTCCTGGCCCTGTCACTGGAGGAACAGGCAGGCACACATGTGTGCATGAATTACCCACCCTCCCACCTTCCCAGCCCACCCTCCCTCACTGTGGAGATTTGACAGAGAGAGAGAGAGAGAGAGAGAGAGAGAGAGAGAGAACATGGGGTTATTAGAGTCTGCAAGAGTATTAAAGTGCACATTCACTTTGTCCATCAAGACCTTAAAGTGCTGAGATGTGCACGGAGCTCTGCAGAACAAAAGCACACGTCAAACAACAGCACATCGGAAAATTTAGAGATTTAATCATTTAAATATTATTTTTAAAAATATTTTGTGGAATTATGTGGCTTTTTGGTGATTGCTACTTACCACCATGCTTAATGAATAGTCTGGTGAGGGTCTGGAGAAGACAATGAGTACAAGTTTAAGGGAGTTTCACCTAATTTGTTCCAGTAAACATTGTTGCAACCATAAACAGAGTTGGAGTTATAGGGTTTTTACATGGCATCGGAGCCTTTCCAAAGGAAAACTGGTCACAATCTGAAATTGCAAACACTGCGCCGTGGAGGAGAAGAATCATACACTTTACTGTATTACTTTGAAGGTTTATGGAGTTGACACTGTAAAGACAATTGGCCAAGGAAGATATTAAATTACATATCTTCTTCAGATTGTAAAGACACATTTTCATTGCGGCTGCACATTCCACTTCTCACAGTGATGTTCCTGCCTGTTAGCCCAATTGAGGTTCTCAAAAATGCACATCCATGTTAGCATCAGCTGCAATCCAACATGACAAAAGTCTATATGAAAAACCCCACATCTTAAAAAAAAAATACTTGTGCTGTGACCTAAAGCAGCCATTTTAGATTCTTGGGAGATACTTGGATCCTCAGAGAGCGAGAGAGACACTGCAGGAAACCTGGCAGGACATCTGGTGAGGGAGGGGAGCCCAGGACATGACTCACACACACCTAACCCCATATTCAACCCTACCGAATTACCACCACTAAAGCTGTCATTAGTGGGTGTGTGGCACGATATAAAGACACGCCGTCGTCTGCAGTGGCAAGTCTATAGTTTGTGTAACAGCTGCGTCAATAAGGGGAAGCTGCTCTAATGTTCAACCCCATGCCAGACATAAGTCATAGAGCGATTATTATCTTTTATGTATGTGTGGTTGTTTTTATCTGGCTGCGATTACAATATAAAAGCTCTCAGTGATGGGAAAAAGAGACCTATCAATGATGGCTTTGTCTGCACCGTTTACTTTATGGGCACTTGATTTTTCTTACTTGCAGTTATGTTTTACAAGTATAGATTGTTACTTTTCAAATACCTTTTGATTATGCATCCACTTACACGCCACAGAGGACGGTCTCAGCCCTCATGCATAAATACTACTGTACATTACATGTACCTACTATACGTCAACTACGCCTTTGCTCTCCAATTACATTAAAAGATGTCATCTTATTTGGAACAGCCGACTGTCATTATCTCGGTGTGATTTATGGTGATAAGGTGTCCACAGCTTTTGTGATTGAAGTAATGAAGCCATAAAGTGAGCTGCATGAAACAAAGCAGGGACTCAGTGGTCGTAACCACATCTACTGCTTGAGGCAAATCCGTACTAAATCTGCCTATTATCCAGGAGATTAAAAAAAAAAAAAATCAACATTGTTGTTGGTCATATCCATCAACGCTAAAGCACCCCATTTCTGACAGATTTATCCTAGAACGCCGTCTCCAACTGAGAGCGGTAATAGAGGTAATTTGGTTCTCAAAATCGGTGCCAAGGCAGACAGGAATCCCTCCCAGCTTTTCTACATGTGGTTACCCTCCTCATTGATTTACAAATGTAAAGTGCTCATCCAGGTGATGCGAGGGAAGTGGCAGTGTTGATCTATCTGTGCCACTCAGATCTCGAACCAGCGAGACACTTTCGTGTGCTTAGACAGCCTAAATGAGGTCATTTCTGTCTGCTTTGGGATCTACGGTGCGCTGGGGTGTTTCAGTGTTCAGATAATTTGCCCATTTTCTGATTCTGACAAAGAATATTTTATGGAAATGCCCCCTTATTCCAGGCATCTTAATGGAGCGTGTTGGAGTAGTATGCGAGCTGATGAGATTGTTGTCTGTCACAGATAAATGTAAAAAGCAGAGCAAATGTCAGAGATGAGCTCGACTGCAAAAGGCTTTTTTTGCCTTTATTTGAAATCAGCACTGCCTTAGCACTATATCTTTGAGGCGTTACGGCACACAATCACAAGGTTATTCTAATTGTTTGAAGCTGTGCGAATACAATATAAGACATTGTACAGCATCTGTCTTTGCGTAGCCACCCAGTGGATTATCAAAGACAGAGGCATCACACTTAATTTGAGATAAAGGCATTGCCTTTCCAAGTTTTTTTTGACAGGTCGAGGCTTCAGTGTACTGCATAATTGCTGTCTTCTGCTGTCCTCTCCCTTCTGTGAGTAAATCCTGATCGTGTGTCAGCGGCCTTACATGACAGTATGAGTGCATGATGTCATTTCCATGGGTGTGGGCCACCAATTACCATGACTCACATGCTTAATAACTACATAAACCCCGGTCTTCTGTTGTATTGGATGAAGATATACCGATGGGTCAATACTCTTCAGTTTGATATCTCTTCCAGGGAACATCAACAACACACACTCCTGAAAAAAAGAACATTTATTAACTGAGGGATGAATTTTTGTAAAACAAAGTTAAATGTTATTGTTTATATTATTTGGATGAGTGTCTGCAGTTTAGGACTACCTTTAAGGTTACTGTATTATGCACAGGGACACAAGCATATATTATGCACAACAACAAAAGGCCCCCTTAATTAAATATACAGTAAATCCATGATTGGTGCTAGAAAAAGTCAAAATCACTCCATTAGAAAGGCACAAACCTTAGCCACCTTCTCTATTCTGTATAGATGAACTAATTTCTTACCAAGGGATTGCTAATGATGCAAAAACACAAACCAAATGTCATTTGATTGTACAAAATATTATGGCCATGCAGGAGAAAATAAATGAATATATATGACATTGTTGATAATTGAGTAAAATTGGTTTGGCGTTAAATATTGCACTTGCTCACATGGCCATAAAAATTACCATAAGAAAATGAAATAATGCAAATTACAATGAAAGATAGAGTTATATGGAACAAATTATAAATTATTTATAATAAATAAATAACACTGAGATGGTTGCAAGTAAGATGTGAAATGAGTCTCTGTGCACTGCTGTGTGTGTTGAAGGTTAGAGGATATGATATATTCAAATTAATAAAATTGACCTGGCATCGCAGGCCAGGACTTGTCTTTCACGACCTCAGCAAAAATTACACAAACACATGAAAAATACAGGCCCCCCGAGCAATCTTATTCAAATCTCTAAATATTTGCATATTGGTATAATAGAGGGCGAAACAAGCTGTGACTGAGCGCTACATGAAAGCTATAAAGTTACTCTGTGGAGTTTTCATTGTAAACAAAAGCAGATTTGTACATGTTGCTGTATGGGACATTATGGTTTATCCTCAAACACTAAATCACATAACTAAGTAAAAGGAAAAACATACACTTAAATGGATTATTGCCGACATATTACTATATTGCTGGGTGCATGTTTTAATGGACAGTACTGTATAGCCACAACATGTGCTGGCTTTGAGGAAAGGCGTGCCTTCTTCAGTGGAGAATCTTGCTCCATAGGTGTCGTCGTTGCTTGATCCACCTATGCATTAAGACTAATAGTTGGATGCAGCAAGTTCAGGCACATTCAAAGGGATTTACAAAGAAAACCACAAACGGAAGTGGGCGTAGATTGAGTCAAGTTCAAGGACAGTGGATACAAGTAAAAGTTACACTTCAAGACTTCATTACATTTTTGGCAGTGGTACTCATGGGGTTTGGCTGATGGGGGGGATTGGTTGTCAGTGGCGTGGGGAGGCTGAAGTTTCTTTCTGCTGCGATACGCTAAGGCTAGCATATTTTTTCCGAGCAAACGCCACCTTCTCTGGAACAGCAAACATGAGTGCTACTATCAGGAGACTTTGCTTATTCAAAATATGCCTACACTTAACAAAGGAACAAGATTATAACATTAAAAGCTTCTCTTATCAAGTGAGTTCTGTGCTAAAGGGTAGCCATTTCCCTTAAATGAAAAACAGTTAAGGAGTATACACACAGCTGCCGTTGTGTTTGCCTCCATTTCCCACCTCTGCAGCAGTTTTTGGAGAAACAGAACCTGTAAAGAACCATATGGGAGCATTAATATTTCCCTATATAACGGTGGAACTCCATAGGACCATTATCCAATTTAAGGAACCAATGAATACCCAGAACTTTCTGTATACACTCCACTATGATATTCTCCAGAGCATCCTGGTTTGGAGCCAAGTGTGAAAAACAAGCAATATATAACACTTATGTGATTTATGAGGGCT